ACCTTTATTTTACTTCCATTATAACACTAGGTATTTCATCAATTGCATAATCGTTTTTTGTTTGAATACGAGAAACTACAAAAAACGCGCCCTTGTACAATTTCACATAATACAAGCGTGGTCACGTGCTTCGACTCTCTCTTCTGATTTCGCTCGCGCTTGCAGCGGTCATTCGCGAGTCTCATATACTAACTCTGGTACCCAAAACATTTCAGACTATCTTCGGAATCTATTATATGTGGAAACTGTTCAGAAGAAGACCTCTGGACCAACACTATTGGATTATTGTTTATTCGCTGACCTGGGCCAACGACGAACTATTTTAAAGAGAACAATTGTTAGTGAGTCTGTTCCATCTGACCTATTTATTTTTGTATACCCAACTTAGCGTAATTATTTTTATTACTTTGCCACACACTCCTGGTAAACTGACTTATTGGGTAGCCAGACCACTACAAGAGCAGTGCTACACCCTTTTTCCACTTGTGCCTTTCAGGTGAACGACAGCCGCTGACCGACAAGACCATGACCGACCCGGGAATCTTGGGCAAAAGCCTCGATCCTGTGTATCAATCCGTGAATCCGTGAACGTGATTTCCTTTGTGTTTAACTGTACATATTTGTTTTTTGTGGTTTCTGCCTATTCAGAGAAAAAACGTTTATGTAATTTACGAAATACCTAATGTTGTAATGGGAGTGAAAGAAAGGTGTAAAACACCACAGCTTTATGACCCTTTACACATGAGCCCTGAACTGATGGCTCTGAACTGAAAGCTTTCACTGGACTAAAAGTTCGGCTTATGTAGCGATCCTCCGGCGGAAGCGCGTGATTAGGATTGGTGGCGCGAGGTTTTTTTCACGTCCGGCTAGACTTGACGGTTTGCCTAAGTCAGAAGCCCAAAGGTGTCTCCCTTCATCCCATTAGACAATGGACCCTTTGATAAAGGATTGCATGACTCAATGGGTGGCAGATATTTTGGATGCTTCTGTAACGGCAGACGATATTCAATCGGGGAAGGTCCTTCTTGAACTTGCATCGCTTGTGTAAGTTACGAATCGGTATTTTAAAAAGTATTTAGGGGCGACGATTGTCCGGATATAGGAACACAGCAGCCGCCTGAGTCCTGGAAGCAGATCGAAGCATTTCTGGATGGTCCGTTCGAATAAATAAATTCATTTCCTCCTTTCAGGAAATTATCAGTTTAAGGCTTCTAGTCTCTTTTCTGTAAAGGATGTGTTGGAGAATTCAGGAGATGATGAGGAAGCCTTTGGAGTAAGTTCACCGTGGTTTTTCTCGTAGGTTGTTTTCTCTCAATGTCTGAGTTTGGCGAACTGCATGAGGGAGTATCATTTTCTGTGCTTCCCACATGGTTGTATGGCATATATGTGCAAGTATGTTATTGGTATATCGTTGTCAATGATTATGTGAGTTTAAATCGAAATTTCGGCATCACAGATTTGTGCGACTATTTCGTCAATCGGACTACCTGAGCCTTTCGTGCCTCCGCTGGTAGTAAAGGAGTAGTAAAGATGACTGTTCCGTAGCGTAGATTCGTGCTGGAAGCTTCTTACAGACATTTGCTGCGCCGGATACTTTGTTGTCACTTTTGGTGCATCGTAGGATATGAGTGAACTGTATAATCATAACATTAAAAAGGAAACTTGCCGACTGTACAAAGCCCAATTTTGGGGTTCCGGGCCATACATAGGCGGTTTGTGGGTAGTTTTGCAGGTTATACTCGGAATGGACGTGGTTACCCCGATTCGTTCATGAGGGTCAATTGCACAGACTTTTCACTCCCCTCGCTCGGAATTGCCAATAGCTACTGCAAGCCGCGGGACCGTCGACCGCCCCATGTTTGGAACATTTACAAGAAGTTCTATGACTTTCGCATCAAAACATGAGGGTATAGCGATTTTGCTCCGATCTGGCGTAAATGGATAAAGCGATTTTGCTCCGATCTGGGGTAAATGGGCTGACAAGGCTCATTCGTGGCTAACCGCTTTACGGTCATAGGCGTAGATGAACTCCATTTTGGATACCGTTCACTCCAGTGCCGTCTCGTTAAGCAAATTAGGGGGTGTATAGATATGTGACATATGTAAGCATCCATATGTAGATACAGAATATTGGACGAACCCCTAATAGTAATAATAATAATCGTTCAGCTGCAACACCCCCTCACTGTCCTGCTGCCAATTTACCCGAAGGGGGCGCGGGGACGTAGCTACCGCCAGGTAGCCCAGGCGTAAACAGCAAGTCATATGGTGGGTTTCGGTCTGAACCGCAGATCTTCCGGTCAGTAAGTTCGCACCTTAACCATAGAGCTATCTCGTGCTGCCACAGCCTCCTAAAGTTGGATTCTGCAATACATGAAAGGCCCGATTCGTCCACCTGTCACTTTACCTCCCAATTTATCGTTCGGGCTCAAAATAGCTCGATGGTTAAGGCACGAATATACTGACCGGAGGGCCCGTTGTTCGAACTTAACCTGGGCATCTCTGCTGCTCCTGACTAGGCTTGGGCAACCTGGCAGGACCCCAGCACTCGTGATCCCTTCGGGGTGCATTGCTGCTAGACATCAAAAGGGTTTTACAGCCGAACGATTATTATTATTAATAGGCATGCATCAACGTCGGTCACGTATCAGTTGCGGATGGCTTGAACGATTAACTGATTGTCGCTTTCCCAATAATGCTGTTATGAATTCCGGTCACATACCTGTCCATCGTTGCTTTTAGTTTTCCGAGGTCTCACAAATGGCAGACATCTCGCCTAGCAACGGAGTGGCACAGCTCCCTATTTTGGATACAGGTAGTTTGTCAGCGGTTATCACCGCTTACTGAAATGCCGAGGCTTACACCTGCGGCGCAGTACAGCCGCGCATATTCAAGTACTGGATATCCGATTGTGTACTTGTGTTGATTGAGTATCGTCCCCCACAGTTGCTTGTAATGCACTGTAACATTATCTTTGGTGCGTTTTGTACATTTTATGATCGTCAGTGTTGTTCCACTGCTTGGTGGTGTCTGTTTCCTTAGGCATGCCAGGGAAATTCGATGAAACTTAACCGAACTCTAGCTCCACCTGATCATACGTGGTCGGTGGGTGTGATTAATTTATTCGCGTTGTCACTCAGAAGCAAGAGCACATCGAGTAGCACAACAATGCCACCTGAGGGATGACGAATTCTGTGCGAAGTTTCAAACGGCACCCAACATTATAAATACGTTTCGCATCCAAAGTAAACCTACCATCAGGAGGTATCTTTTACGTTGTAATACTCTGCAATCACTGTTTTTTTGCCAAGAGGGTCGGTAGTTCTGTATGGATAGTATCTTGCGCTGAATCAAAGCCACGATAACTAGGCAGCATAACCAAAGCGTGGTCGCTGTTTCCGCCAACGCGAGTTTTCCTCTTGGTATGTCCGCCATCCTAGCCTAGTAAAAAACACTAGCTCAGGGAATCGCAAGCATGCAAACACTGGCGCAACCTATTGCGGTGAATACAGAGCCCCCTAAATTTCGTTATCGACGGCATCTGCATAGCTCTCCTGTTGGGGATATCAACGCTGTATTTTTATTTGTGCTAGCGAACTTCCGGCATCTTCAAGGTCAAACTATGAATAAATCAATGGCCTGTTGATATTCCAAGAAATTTAAATCCGACTTACTCACACGATATCATCTTTTTACTGACTTGGGTTCAGAAGCTCGGGGCATCGCCTGTTGATCGCGTGTTTTTGGATCATTAAAGTTTGTGTCCGAGGTTTTTCGTCTTCTTACTATCCGCCTTGCTAGGAGTCTGGATCAAGCAACATAGCTGGGGATAGAGTATTTCCACAATCCACATATCATATTGTTTGCTCGCTGCGTGACCGAACCGTAACAGCGCCACAATCGACAAGCTATCTAAGTATGTGCACCAGCGACCTGGTGATCGACTTGCTTCGATTTGCACGCTGAACGTTGACGTGAAAACAGCAGAGCTGTTGATATGAATTTGATTTTGCCTGTATGGTTCATAGTCTCCTGTGGCCTGAGTTGTCCCAAATCTAAACAAGAGAACTACTTGAGTCCCCGGCCGAAGTCGTTGGCTCGAAAGCCCAACTACTAGCTAGTGGGTCTCGATTTAGTGCTATGATAGTATTTCCGCGCCCGCAATGGCGCTCGTGCATCATAGCTATTGCCCTCAATGCATAGCTCCTTTGCAACTCCCCCGCTTGACAACCCACTGACAATGCTGGATTTATGCACCAATTTTTCAGCTCCCCCCCCCCCACA